AGTTTAAATTTTCGCAAAGAGAAGACTTCAATTTTTTTTTTTTTCAAAGGGCAATGAAACGAATGGACACGAAACACATGGCCTGTTGATTTCAACGATCTTTCAATTTTTCTTGAAGTTCATAACATACCCCCAGTCCCCCATTGCCATCGTCCTCTCTCACAGAAATCCGAATTTGAAATCGAAACTTAGTTGTTAAACCCGGACCCCCATGAGAATTGAAAAAAATAAAAATAAAAAGAGCAGCTTTGTTTTTTTGTTTTTTTTTATATTGCCCGTGTTTGGAGTTTGAGAAGAAATCTTGTGAAATACGGACAGATATAAGGCAGATCAGTGTAACAGATGTCAATGACCTTGACACTTTGTAAAAAAAAAAAGGAAAGATTCCTCTTTAGTTCTGACGATCCATTGGGCAGATGAAGTGGAGTTTATTTGTTTCTTGACCTCGTCATATAAAGGGATAATGTGGTCAGCACTATGCCCAGCCGCCTTTACTTTCCCTAATGTGAGTTAGGTACCCATCAGAGTTGGGTGGACTCAGGGACGTTCCACTAATTTGAACCGGGATTCGAACTCGAAACTATCAGGTGAGCAGTCTAGCGCTCCACCGCTAGGCCACGCCATCCCACGTAATGACACGTGTAGGGATTGTGTAAACAGCTCAGTTGCCTGTACTCACCCTAAAGATGGACGATTCTGGAAAAATTCTACTGTACCAGAATCCAGTATATGTTACATAATAGATTTAAAGAAGTCCTACAGTCATCGGCAGTTAACAAACGGAACGAAACACTTTTGGTATAATAGTCGTGTGCGCTATTTCTCGACTACCGTGTAAGACACTGCACATTATAATTTTATTAAAAAATGTTACGAACGAAAAACAAATGGCGAGGAGAAATTCATAACACAACTATATTTCACAATCCGAAATTATCGCTCGAATTATAGATGCCTCAATATATCTTTAGTCGACATTTCATACACACAGCAGTGTTTTTTCCAGGCATACCTGGGGGGTGGGGGGGGGGGTGGGGCTTCGGGAGAGTCTAACGCCCCCCTCTAAACGAAATGGAATTTATGTAGAAAATATATACTTTTAAAATTGTCGCCCCCGGAAATTTTATTCTGACCCCCGGAAAATTTCAAGTTATTCCCCCCCCCCCACCCCCGAGGAAAAAAGTCCAGAAGAAACACTGACCCACAGTGAAATGATAAAGAGTATTACAAAGATATATTTTTAAAAGATGATTAAGTTAAAACAATAGATTTACGTTTTTGAACAAATGTGTAACAAATTCACAACAGTACAGCTACCATTTACACTTCGATTTTTCCACAAGACCCCCAGATCTATACTTAAAAATCGATCACGGTCAACGGCGAGTGTCCAGCGACAGCCAGGCCGAGTTAAAATAGGTTAAGTCCCAGTTAATCCCTACAGGACGTCCGCCCGCTGTCCTCCCCCTCACGTGCTCGGCTGGAACTGACCAGCGGTCAAATTGCAGTTGTCAACGCCGGCTCGGCGTGCGGTCACCTCTATCTCAGCCGTCGCAGAGGGTCGAGGCGTGATCGGAATGGCTATGTGAGCGACCACGTCGAGTTGGGATTGACTTTTTCCATGAAACGGTCGCTGGGGCTAGCATAGAAACAGCGACAACTTAGGAAATTGGATGTGTTTATTTACATTTAGAAAAGGAATTTATTTACAGCGAGAGAAGGGGTTTGGAACTGGCGAAGTGTTGAGTGACACAATGGGCTCTTATAAAAAGATTTTTGCAAGCTCCCACGCAAGATTGGGGCTGAAAGTTGCCCCCCTTTATCTACCATTTCACTGCACTAGACCTGAAATTCTAATTGTAAGAAAATAGCGAGCTCTTTCAAAGTGATACACTCTCTCTCTCTCTCCTTATATATATACTAGCTGCATCCCGTGCTCCGCCACGGTAAATCTTTTTTAAATGTACCAACTTGGGAACAGAACAAAACTAAACACAACACAAACGAACGCAAAAAAAAAAAAAACACAAACGAAAAAACAAACACAACACTCATAACATAAACACAATTTAAATGCAATCATAAAGGCATATTGCTCACAGTCTAGCCCGTAGCGCCAAATCGCGCCCTTTCCGGTGATTTGCACCCCCCTCAAACTTTCGATTTGCACCCCTGTCCCCCCCCCCCCGCCCTAAAACTTTCGATTTCCACCCCCCCCTCGCAAATTTTTTCCAACCCACTTTGGCGCCCCTTAAGGTCGGCACCCGGGGACATATGCCCCCCCCCCCCCTCGCTACGCCTCTCCTATAAAACCCGAAAGATAGAATAATAATTAGAAAACAGTATAAATAATAGGCAGTATTTAAAATACCGTGTTTTACCTACACTATTTCACTTTATCCATTCACGCATTTTTTTTTCCAGTACTTTAAATTTTAAAAATTTACAAAAGAGTTTCATAACTAAAACCATTGCGCACCTAATGAACGTGATGACGCGTCTATAATAGTGCTGAATAGTTGATTAAAAATTATAAGTAATAAACAGTAGGGCCTACATTCAGTGAATAAAATAAATAAAAGATTGCCTTTTATCAATCCATGCTAAGTATAATTTTCTAACAATAATTTCCTCTTACACATCCGAATAATTTGCATTCACATTTTGCTAATTATATTATTGCAACACTAATTCCTTCTATGACGAACGTATATTTGCATTCACATTTTTTATTAGCGTGAGTTTAATGTATTTTTAAATTACCTCCTTTGTCAAAATTAGAAAAAAAGAGTTAAATTAATTTGATTTTTCTACCGTACTGTTATTATGTTATTAAAATGTATCCACTTTTTCTAGGAATATTAACGAAAACTATATTTGACATTGATCCTTTTAATATGTTTTAGCAATGTGCGTGTATTTAATATTTTCTTTACGTTATGCAAAATTGTACAAACAGTGGAAATTATAAAATAGCTCTATGCCACTATATAAACAAACCCTACTCTAATACTTATAATAAGACACTGCGGTGCACTGAAAAGCACTGCGTGGTGCGAATGTTTACTTTTATGGTTCTAAAAGCTATAGCGATGACGGAAGGAAGGACTGACACACTACTTGCCCGCTTATATTATAGATAGATAGAGAGAAAATTCACTTATAAAAAATTAATATATATACATGTAACATATATATATACATTTTATAAATGTATTTACATGTTATATATATATACACATGTTATATATATATACACATGTTATATATATACACATGTTATATATATATACACATGTTATATATATACATATATATATATATATATATATATATATATATATATATATATATATATATATATATATATATATATATATATATATATATATATATATATATATATATATATATATGTTTATATATATATATATATAAATATGTATATATATAAATATATATACATGTTATATATATATATGTTTATATATATAACATGTATATATATATATATATATATATATATATATATATATATATATATATATATATATATATTTATTTATTTATTTATTTATTTATTTATTTATTTATGCTCGTACTCTAATGAAGAAAATATAACTTGTTCAATATAGTATCAATACCATGCGATACAAAATGTACTCGGTGTTTCCTAGTAATGCGATGCATGTTTGCATTTTTAGTCAAGAATTTGAACGGATCGGCAAAGTCCGTCTAAAACTGATCGATCGTGACGGTAAATGGGAGCTACACTTACAGGTCTAATCAGGTTAGTTGAGGAGGAGGGGGGGGGGAGGGGGGTCGGTATCTCACTCACTTTATTACATAGAATCTCATTGGCTGGGTGATAATAGGGTTGCAAAGGGGGAAATAAGATATGGGTTACTATGTTGTTTTTTTTAAAGCATAAAATTAAGGCTTGGGCTGAGCCAATTTTCTGCCCATGTCCCTGTTTGGCTTGAATTTATATTTATGGGTAGCGATACTGTCTATCAGTTACTTCCCTTACTAAGGAATTTATGACTGAGGAATTTATGACTGTAATTACAAATTTAATATTTTAAAAGATTGTAAACAAAAGGTCAAGTCCTAAATATCAAGGTTGTACAAATATAATGGAAGAAAGGGTTGAAATTCAAACAAAAGGTTAAGTTTAAAACGTCAATGATTTTTTTAAAGTGTAAAGCAGGGGTCTCCAAACTACGGCCCGCGGGCTGTATGCAGCCCGCGATGTCCTCTCATCCGGCCCGCGGAGATCTTTTTGTCCACGGAAAACCCGTTTGTTGGTGATGGCTGAGAAACTTTGCCCAGAAAAATCAAAAGAAGAAACTGGCCCCCGAACTGAAATTTTATAGTCAATGCGGCCCTCGGTCTGAAAAGTTTGGAGACCCCTGGTGTAAGGCATGGAAATGATGGGAATTGGGGGAGCATTGTCTGACTACCAGCCTATTTGATATGTATTTGTGTTCACGACTTTAACAGTTACCTCCCATCTGTAAGGAATAGCAACAAAATAACAGATCTAAAGCTTTAATTATGTTAGTATTGTTGTCTAAATCCCTAATCCAAACGCTAAAGTAACCCTGACACTAACGCAGATCTAAAATGCAAGCCTGACGATAGGGCTGGTAAGTAGGTCAGCAACCAGTTCTATGGCTTATGCAGGATTTATTGAGCCGTAGAACTGGTTGGTGACCTACTAACCAGCTCTATAGTCTTGAAGGTAACATTAATCCTTTAACTTTCCTTTACGTATATTCCAGCATTTATCCTGACCCTAAGAGAGATACTGACATATCATCAACGGCAGGTATCACAACTATCCTGTAACACACATGGATCAATATATATATATATATATATATATATATATATATATATATATATATATATATATATATATATATATATATATATATATATATATATATATATATATAATCATTTTTCAAAAGCATAAACTTAACGATGCTACTTACTCCTCGCGTTAGGTTCGATGAAGTCCTTCAAATCACGCAGCAAATTTTGTAAACTATCCTTGTTTTCTTCGTTGAAAAACTTTTGAATCGTCACCGATTCAGACATGTTTTTGTAGAGGGGGAACAGGGTATGATAACAATCACTCAACGCCGAACCAGAATCGTGATAGAACATTCCGAAATATTTAAACTCGAAGTGGTTGAGTATAGCCCGGACAACAGTCTTCAAGTCGCTCGAGGTGGTTTGAATCCGTGTTAATGCTGGGTACTCGATTTTGCTGTCGAACGCAGCGGCGAAACCGCCTACGGTTACAACAGGAATTCGCCATCGTTGTGAGGCGTATTTGGCGACCGGCGACAAGGAATAATCGCATGCCGGGCCAAAGAAGACATCGACTGTTTTATCCTTAAACATGGAGATGGCTGCTAAAGGTCCGTATAACGCTGAACATTTCGAGTCTCGAAGATCGAACTTGATTTTCTTGACGTGGTTGACTTTGTAGACACCGCGTTCCAGTTTCTCTTTCGCTGATTCCAGCGAGCTTTGGACTTTGATGAGGCTGGAGGAGCTCGCAGTATTGTTGGGGAGGATGACGCCTATCCTGATCAGGGAGGGAAAGGTAAGGCCGGTTGAGTCGGCGCCGTTGCCGTGCGAGATTTGAAAAAACACGGACAGAAAAAACGCGTAGAGAAGTTTTCGGATCCATGGGTTGATAGTCGAAGTTGTCTGTGAAAAATTTGTGATCGAGTGAGAAATTCCGGATTTTTTTGGATTAGGGTTTGGCTTATCATAAACCGGATTAGCTGAGGTTGTCGTTTTTGTAGGAGAGAACGTTCTTGAACAGCGAGACAAATATCCCGTGGTTTCAGCGATACATGACCTTTGAACTTGGCACCCATCTTGTGACCTTGATGCAGTCGGTGACATGGGACGGACATGTGAAGATGACGTCATTTCTCAAAATGAAATTTACAAAAACCTGAATCACCGAGATGGACGCATGGCTTCAAGAATGATTCTAGTTGTTCTTTGCATTTGAATCCAATATTTTCCTTTACGTTCAGAATTGTTTTAAAATGTGGTATTCACATTGAACTGTTACAACTCATCTATAATAATGAGTATATTTAAATATCTACCTAAATATCGCTATATCTATATATCTATGTTTCTCCTTTCCATCATAACTCTTTCTCTCTCTCTCTCTCTCTCTCTCTGTATATATATATATATATATATATATATATATATATATATATATATATATATATATATATATATATATATATATATATATACATATACATATATATATATATATATATATATATATATATATATATATATATATCAGTATTATTCAGACTTTCAAAGACTATAAGAAGAAAAAACAACTTCCACATTCATTACATACGACGAGTATACACACAGTAAACACGCACGCCACAAGCGTTCATAATTAAAAAAAACAGAACAATTATATTAAAGTACTCTTTTAAAGTACTTTAAATCAATCTTTGAGAGTGCTTTCTGAGGGGTGTAATTACTGCGTTCGTCACGGTTGGGTTGACACGGTAGAGGGTTAGTCAACGAGGCCGGGGACAATGGATTGATCTGGCAAGTTTGAAAGTGCCGGCACCCGATCCGGGAATGTCAACCGGTTTTGTTGTTTTAAAGCCGGTGTACACGATTACATAACGCTTGATTGAGCACAAATCTATTCGTCAAGGGGAGTAATTATAGCTACAGGTATCAAGATAAATACGAGTGTCCTTGGTAAAGTATTCAAATGAAATATATTGCCGTAAGTTCTTATTTCAATGTAAGCAGTGTTTTTTTTTCTTTTTTCTTTTTTTTTTTTTTTTGTAGCATACCGTATTTATAAAAAAATGCTTTGTAATAGCTGTATGTGTGTGACTGAGTGTGAGTGTGAGTGTAAATGTGAGTGTATGTGTGGTTGTGTGTACGTGTGTATGTGCACAAGAGAACGTAGAAGGCTGTAGGATGGAACATGGGGCATTAAACGGATAACTAGCTAAGAGAACGTAGATGGCTTTTGAATGGAACAGACACCAACTAGGTAAAACGCGAACCTTGAAAAGAAGTGTACATACAAAAGACAGCGATGGAAGTCATTAAAACAGGGGTTCCCAACCTTTTTTTTACTCTAGAGCACATTCTAAAATATCGGTAGGGTGGCGGGCACCACCTATTTTAAATCGACAAACTCCTTCCATAACTTGTCATTTTCCCATAATTTATTTTCTTATTTTCTTATGGTCATAATTATATTAATAAATAATAAACAAAAATGTTTCAAAATAATAAAATTATTTGGTATTTTTTTCAAATTGCATACACACAGAGAAATGTATTTACAAAACGTAAAGAAAGGTTTTCTGCGTGTACAAGGTGTGATGTGCATATGGCACTAGCCGTTCCAGGCTAGCGTAAATAGTGCAGTCTGGCTCGCCGCTAGACAAGTTGGGACAAGGAATTGAACATATTTAATAAACCCAGGCAGTCAAAAAAAAAATTAAAACTGTAACATAATTTAAAATAAATCATATTTTAAAATAATGTTTATGAAAACAATTCTGCCTCTGTCGAATAGTGAGAGGCGGGCACATACAAATCGTTCAGCGGGCGCCATGGCGCCCGCGGGCACAGGGTTGGGAACCCCTGCATTTAAACAAAGGCATTTACTACTATCACAGTATCTTATTTCTAAAGTAACTGAAACACTGATGAAAATTAAACAACAGTTACCGCTCATACGTTGAGTTACTTCACCTTGATGGATTATCGAGTTTCGTTTTGTGAGTTAGCTGTTTCGGTTTGAACGCCCTATAATCTTTCAAAACTGACGGTCTTTGGAGCTAGTTCAGTAGAGTTCATCTGTTGTTGGGGTCCCGGATTATGTGCCTTCCCTAACCTGACTCTGGTTCTCTTGGTAGACTCGTGGACTTTTTCTTCGTTCTTAATTTTTAGTGTTGGGAGGGATCGAGCCTTATCTGCCAGAGGCTTTGAACTCGAGACTCTTTTCGAATTTATCAACCATGAGCTTTTACCGACTTGACCATGCTTCCATCACAATTAAGGATACGTGTCAACTGGTTATGCGCCATTGACTACGATTTGTGTTTGATTTTGGAGTTGTCTCTCTTACAAGAGTGGCTGTCCCCAGCTAACGAGCCTCATCTGCCCGAGGGTTCGAACTCGAGACTTTCCGGTTTAGCAACCATGAGCTTTACCGACTCGACCACGCCGAACCACTGACTCATGGACGATCTACTGGCTTGAACCCGGTTTGAACTCGATACTATTGGGATAGCAGTCTAGCGCTCTACCTCTAAGCCACCCCCGCCCACATGAACGCAGTGTTATAAATCTGTGGAAGTTCGCATTTTCACGATAAATCACTTTTATTTTCGCACCACGCCAGATTTTAAATTTGCAGATCGTCACTAAAACGACAACCGTGATTGCATCATTACTGACTAAATTGTACTGACATTTCTTGAATAATTACCAGACTATTAAGTCGACCAGTCAGCCGTGAAGATAAAATCGTAGAGTCGTGCAATTATTTTAATGAGAGGGGGCGTATTTAAATAGGACGTAACCTACCCGCACTAAAGGTGTCAGGTTATGTACTATTAAATAAATCTTGTCTAATTAAAATAAATAACATCTTAATTACTTGATGATTTGTCTGTAACGAAGCGGAACAAAAAGGAAAAGAATATTGTTAAAAGGTTTCATGAAATTTTTTGTTAATTTTCTATAATCTACGAATCTTTCTGAACTATTCATAAATTTATAGGCTAGATGTTTATAAACGCGTTATGTCTAACATTGAAATCGAGTGAAAGCACTGAATTCTGTGAAGAAAAATTTACCAACATGACACGTACGACTTCGGAAAATAGCATACATTGGGTGGCTTCAATATAACCCCCCCCCCCCCGGACAAACCCTTTAATTAAATACAAACTTCATAGACATTGACCATTAGTATATATTCCTCTGAACACAATCCCCACGAACATAAAACCATGGATATAAAGCTGATAGCTATAAAATAATTTTCCGACGTATTTAAAAAACACAATCTGATATGTTATGATTTCCGACCAAACTCGACTAATGCAGAAAACCTTGAACTTGAACTAGACATTACAAGACTCGAAGGTCGCTCCTTAAACTCCCCACCCCCCCCCCTCCACCTCCACTTCCTCTTTTGCAACATACCAGTTCGCCAAGATTTCTAACGCCTTCAAGAATTGATATAAATATTTAACTACTTGTCAATTAAAACAAAATAAATAAAACTACATTTTGTGTTAAGAACTTCAAAGGCAACGATATTAAAATAATTTATCTATTTAAAAAAAAATCAAAAGCTCGTATATATTTGACATTTAGATTTTTGTTCTAGATCTTGTAGACACTTCTTCAAAACGCAAACATTTAAATATTGATTCGGCTTGCGGCAGTGTGGTAAAATTAAAGGAACATTCTTACGTGGTTTGATTTTCCAATTAAATGAGAACGCAGGCGACTGAATTTTCTGTTTACCAATTGGGTGGTTTTGAACCGCAGTTATGAAAATGTGTAAAAATTGTAAAAATAATGTATCAACTTAAATCAAGAAAATTGGGCACAGTTGTTTCAGAAGTTTGCGTTTTGTGTTCTGTCATATATTTTTATGCAGCATTTTCCGTATAAAAACAGCAGCACTAACCTTTTTAAGTTTTGCAAACTTCTAAATTTTCAAAATAAAAATCGATTAAACTTTAATTCGGAAAAAAAATTTCTAATACATTATTGTTAAATTCAAAACTGATTATTAATTGAAACATTGATGTCCTCAAACGAATTTTCCAAATTGTTATTTTTAAATCGAAGCTCAAGACCTACATTTAAAAAAAATGTTCATAGTAAAAAATGTATCTGGAATTGAAAAACAACGCTAATTTTTCAAATTTGGTTCACATATGGTTCACATATGATTCTTAAACTTGATACATGCTATACATTTGATTAATAACTATTAAATATTTGTATGTGTTATATTTATAATGTTACATTCCTTTTTATGGTCAATTACCAAGTATTTGTATGAGGGGAAAACGAATGTTAAAAAAAAAACCAACAAACAAAATCAGTTTAACTAATTATAACACCCACATTTAATTTAAATACGCTAAATGTATTGACGACGGAATTTAGCCACTATGTTGATGTTAAAATAAAACAAAATCAATTTCATAATTTTACTAAAACGACAGAAATATCAACTAACAAAATGCCTTTATCATAATCAGAAAACACAATATTGACCTAACGGAAACGTGACTAAAATACGACAACTTTTTTTATATTTAAAACAAATTAGGTTAATGAGTTTAGCAAATCCATGACAAAATGTAGTTTTTTGTTGTAAATTTAATGAGCAAAATAGATCGGTTGAGAACATGCCGTAAGGAGACAATAATTCCTCGCGTAACTGCACACAAAGTGAGTTTTTTTTTCCGTCTTTGTTGGTGTAGGAATACATTCTTTTTAACGCCTCACGCGCATCCGGAGCACCCCAAACAAATGCGCGCGGATACAATAGCGACCACCGAGCTTTAGTTTTAAACAAATAACATCACGTGACTCCCGGAACAGTGTTCTATGCTATCAATGATTTAAAAAAAAATATACAAGTCAGGGCCAAACATTTCCTTCGC